CTAACAGTTTTTTTTTTTTAAATATCTGCCATTGGAAATCTGTTGCCATCTTAAAAAAACCAACAGTTTATTTGTATTTTAGCATGTAAAATAAGGAAAATCGATATAATAAAGATAAAGGATGTATTTTCTTCTATAAGGAATTATGTGATGTAAAACAATTATAATAAAACATATAATTTCAAAGGTAATAAAAAATATTGATCTAAAAACATTTCTGCTTCTTTAAACATTATGTTTTAAATTTCAAATATTATTAATAAAAAAAGCACAAAACGTTTGAAGACTGGTATTTATTATAGTGCATTAGTTAGTTTTATTTTTAGCCACCATGAAAAGCTATTGTAGGGTCCAAAGATCTGCATGCCGCTTTGGAGCTGCAGGTTGCAGACCTTCTGCTTTAACCCGTGTGCCACACTAACTTCAGGGTACAGAGAGAATATGTGAAAGCAGTTCCTATAGTCAGATAAGACCTAATTGAACTTTTATTTGCTTGTATGCAAAATGCTGCAGAAGTCATAGAACAAACTTTACACTTTACCTTAATAAACTTTGCAATTATAAATAATTCTACTAATACCCTAATTTTTTAAATCAGTCATGTTTAATCAAAAGTATATTTCAACTGTGTTTGATGCTTGCTGTGTGATTTGGACTTAAAACCTGAGGTTTGATGCTCATTGGAATCTTGTTTAGCCATTTTGATAAGAAAAAATGTTTCTAACTGATGTTGAAGACCAATATTTTACCATTATTGTAGCCCTAAAGACAAAGTTGCTTTATAAAATATTTTCATAGCAGAAAAAAAAGTGACGGTCTGCTTTTATTTGTACACATTTTTTAAAACCATATCTTGTTCCTTCTACTTCACAATTATGCTCTAGTTCCTGCTGGTCTGTTAATGAAATCAGAAGAAAATACTGTAAAGTTTATTTTTGTAAAATTACTAAATGTAAAAAAGTTAGATGGATTTGAATACTGTTGCATGTAAGAAACTAAATAATTGAAATATGACTGCTTCATGTTCTTTCTTTGTCTATCTTATGTGTGCAGGTAAGTGTCGTCCAGGACTCTGTCAACATTTCGGGTCAGTCCAACATGAACATGCTGAAAGTACCAGAGTGTCAGCTGTCTGATGACCTCGGGAACCTGTGGGAGTGTTCACGCTTCACAGACTGCAGCCTCTATGTGGGAGGCCAAGAGTTCAAAGCGCACAAATCCATCCTCGCAGGTAGGACATTTTCATCCCCCATCAGAACTGGCACACAACATTCAGCAGTGCAACATCAGAAGTGGCAGTAAAAAAAAAGACACATCGATGCTTATTCTGAATGACCTCTTGGAAAGGGCCTTGAGCACCTCAGAGGCTAAGAAGGGTCTGTGTGCTTGGCTTGATTTGTTGCTGCCTAGTTCTGCAGTGGTTGCTAATCCACATCTTCACTCCTGCTTGGCTCTGCTTGACCTAGATGACTGTGGGATCTGGGAGATTGAGAGGCTGTCTCTCTGCGCTTATCTCGATTAGTCATGGCGGTTTCTGAACTGTCCGAGAAGAAAAATGCTTACAGCGTGAATATTATGGGAGTAATGCTGCACTTTTTTAGAGTGTTGAATATATATATTTACTGTACTTAGTGAGCATAGACCTTAATCCAGAGTAACTAACAAGTGAGAAACAGCATTTGAGCTTTAGTACTGTAGGAAACTCTGGCTCTCAGTATGACCTACGAAAGCCTTCAAAGCAGAGGTGAATGAAATGTTTAAAGCAGTGCAAATAAACATGTGTTAGGCATGCCATATTGTTGAAGGTGTTTATTGAGACATTGACCAATCATTTTTAAATGCACGCTTATTTATTCATTTCTGTATCTATTTTAACAGCGAGGTCCCCAGTCTTTAATGCAATGTTCGAACATGAAATGGAAGAAAGTAAAAAGGTAAGAGCAGCACTGAGTAACTTGATTCCTGTCGAGGGACTCGTCATGCTGCAGGCATGACTGTTTAAGAAATATATTTTAGCAATTAGAACACATCTTTATTAGCTTTACAGTGCTATGCTTCAGACTTCCTAAACTTTTCCATGTCTTGTCTTGTTGTACTCCTAATATTCATTGTGTTTTTTATTGGTATTTTAACGTCACACACCAAGTAAAAGCAGTGTATAACTGCATTTGGAGGGGGAAAAAAACTAATTTTTAAGTGTGTAATACCTATATAGTAAGCCCCTTTATTATTGCACCCTTAAAGAAATGAAAAATTGTAATAAAATCGCCATCAAACTAACTTGGGTTAATTTTGTTGCGGCTCTATTAACTGTATATAATTAATGATTCTGCTCTTTTACTGCCACCACTTTCATGAGCCATTGCAACAACATCTTTTCCAAAAATGTGTTTGATGATGCAAAACTAAATAATAGTAAAGATGCATGTAAAATCCATTGCAACCAATTCCTATCAAAAGGCGTTTTTCAAGGAGGTTCTCTCTAAACAGCATCTTTTAAGTCTTCCCAAAGGCTCTTAATAGGTTTTAGCTCTAGACATTGATTGGGACATTTAATATGTAAACAAGCTGTTATTTTAATCCGTTGACCATGACTGGCTAAATGTTAATGTTGCTGTCCGGCTAAAGTGTGAACCTTTTTCCCAGACTTGAGTTTTTTCCTCTTGGTTTGGTCTGTATTTGGTGAAATAATAAAGAAAAATGTTTCCCAAAGCTTGATGCTGCCACAAACAGGTTACTGTCTGGGTATGTGGTGTTCAAGGTAGGGCTGGGCTATAAACCAGATTTTTACAGTTACCGTCATTCTCTGCGATAACCGGTGACAATTGTTCCATGTTGGTAAAAGAAATAAACTTAATTCTGCCATTTTTCCTGTGTGCACTGGGAATGGCAGATGAGCCCATTGAAGAAGCGTCTTAACACAGCTGTAAACAACACTACATCAGTTAATCCTGTGGAGCCGAACGAGAGCAGAGAACGTGCAGAGAAGTCAAGAGCTCGTTGTCAGATTTGAGCGCACGGCAGTGAGGGTGTGCAAGTTTAAACGATGCACATTGTTCTCACTGCACGCTTAGTTCGAAGGCACCAAAATTACTCCATAGATGTTGGGTAAAAGAACACGAAATGAAAAGTTTGTCTGAAAACAGTAGGGACTACCCAAAGTTACTCATCCAACCTCCACCACCTACAGCCGCGCTGTTGAGTTCAAAGATCTACAAGAGGCTCTATTACCTTTGCAGAAAAATGTTTGCAAGAGAGTTAAAAATGTTCTCCTCTTCAATGAGACATTGTTGAATGTTTAAACATGAATGAGTACTAGGGATGCACGATATAATCGGCCCCCTATCGGTATCGGCCTTAAAACTGAATATCGGACATCGGCCACCCCACCGATATTTAACCCGATA